TGAAGAGCCAGGGGAAAGACCGAGATTCCGGTGGACATCGGACGCCCAGGAGATGGAGGGGGCTTTTGCTACCGGAAACAACCGTGCTCCATACCAATGGATATGATCAGCTGACCATAGGAAAGCAATAGACAGTGAGACAAGCGAAAAAATTCTCAGTAGTTCATTCGCAAAAGCGCTGACTGAAAAGACGGGCCGAAGAATTCGAAGAACAGTTGGCTTGCAGCTCCCGGTGATAATTCATACGGGTGAATGGAATGTAAACCTTAATCGTCCGTCAGAAGAAATAAAGTACGAAATATTTGTACTGAAACGTGAGAAGGCACTATGACCGGATGGCCTTTATCCAGCCCTCTTCAAAGAAGGCGGAGAATCCCTGGTGACCGAGAGAGTCGTGATATGAAGACTGCAGGCAACAGCGGCGCTTTGTTTCGGCTGGTTTACCCAACCGGCCAAAAGATGGCCAATAATGATCGTTCACTTGTGACACTTTCGGTACCTAGTTGCCATGCAACCGAGCTCGAGCTAGCTCAGTGGTTAAGGCACCAGTGTTGTGTACGACGAGGGTCGGAGTGCAACGACAATCAGAATGACAATGGAAAAGTCCGAGGGCCCGAAACCTAGGCTTTATTCATCCAAAACTTTGACACTGAGAGCTGGAAGCGGAAGAAAGTGATTTAGCAACAAATCGCTCCAGCCATGTTTCGGCTTGGTAAGTATGCAACCCACGAATATACAAAGCTCCGATGCGTGGACCGTAGAACTGGAAGGATGACAATTAGAAGACCCGATAAAACACTACTCATAAGTAATGATCGTGTTGCTTTTTATAGTTGGATAGTTCGACTGCAAATAGTAGGCCGTTAGTTAGTGTCCCATGAGTAGTTTCCAGAACTGGGCGAAAATTTATTAGTTTGATCCTGGTGTCTCGTATAGATTGTCGAATCGCTGTACACCAAAGTCAAGTAAACGAGGAATGCTATAAACGTTCAACACAAGTGTCCATAAAACTAGACCAGCCCGGAATGCCCCAAAAAACACTGACTGGTTCTGTCTGCGTATTCTCACTGGTTTGACCGCTGTTTTTTGCCCTAAACGGTTGGCTTCCATCTGTTTCGAACTCTATAGAAGGCACGATCGCGCGCCTGTGCACAGCACTCACAAGCGTAAGGCGACCACTTCTTTGATACGACAGTATTTGCTTGGAATTTTTCGGTCCAACTGGAGATAGAGAGAGAGGGTGTCTCATAATAGACGCAAAAAAATAATGCCAATGTTAACACTTCAACACCAATCCAAACATTTATCATTTTTATGTGGACATACATGCATCATAAAGGTTTACTGTGAACAAACTGGCATTACAAAAGATGTTGAAAAGAACCGCCCCTTTCTTCTATAACAAGTTGGAGGCGGTATGAGATGTGAGACAGCATGTTTAACTTCCTCAAGAGTCACTCGTGCACACTCCTCCTCAATCCTTGATCTTAACTCCACCAAATTCTTCGGTTTATTTTCATGATATACGCGAGCCTTGATCATTCCCAAAACCAATAATCCACAGCTGTGACCTTGCGGGCCAAAAGTTTGGAAATCCACGAGCAATGACTCTCTCATCAGAAAATTGCTCTCGGAGGTAAGTTCTTACTTGGTTTGAGTAGTGGGATGGAGCGCCATGTTGTTGAAAGACGGTTGATGACTTCTTGTGCTGCTTGAGTTGCGGGATAACATGCGTCTGCAGCATATGGAGGTAACCGTCGCCGGAAACCGTAGCATCAAAGAAAAAGGGACGCAGGAGACACTTTGACGAGAATCCCATCCGCACACAGAGAGGAGGGGAATAGAGATTATGGGTGAGGTACTCGTGAGGGGCTTCACGGGACCATTTCACGCAATTGTGCTTGTTGATTATGCCATCCACAGAAAAATTTACTTCGTCGCTCCATAAAATGTTGGGAACGATTTCCTCATTGTCCAGCAGCCAGTTAGAGAACGTGACACGTTGCTCCTTGTTTTCTTCCGTGATGTTTTGTAATAAAGTGAAATGATACGGGTAGAGATGAAGGTGGCGTCTCATAATACGATGCACGCTGGCGCGGGGAATGCCGGTCAACTGAAACACCTGAGTTATGGACGAAGATGCCATGGTGCTCTGGGACTGAAGTTGGTCGACGGCATTCTGTAAAATGGTCGCTCTTTCATCACTCACAGACTTTCTCCCTTTGCCAGGAAAATCCAATACAGATCCAGTGGACTCAAAGTTCGCAATCAAGCGTGTAATGGTCGACACGGTGAAAGGATCTTTGATGAGACCATGTTTGGTTTTGTAACCACGAAGTGCAGCGGTGGCGCTTTCACCAAGGAAATAATAGAGTTTCACAATTTCAATGCGCGTACTGATATTCATCGTAGATAGAAAAAAAGCCAACACTCGCACACAAAACCCCCTTTATGTGGCTACTAATAATGAAGAAGTTTGTCATCTTTCCTCTGATTGGTTAGTTTACTCACCCAATCGAATTTTGCGTCTATTATGAGACACCCTGTACTGTGCCACTACGTTTATCTTCATGGCACGTCCCCTTAGACCCAATGGTTTTCAAAACGTGGTACAACTCGTTACTGTGGTTCACAAAATGTTTGGGCAGCATCCACCTGAAACCTTTGAAAATCACTCTACGATTGACTCGTGAAATGAGAGCATTAAGGTGGGGCGAAGTCGCCTTTGTTTCGAACATGGAACGTGGCTTCATCAAGCAGCAGTATGGGTCCCATATTAAGCCCGCATCTGTGTGCTACACTAGAAGGTACATGCTGCCGAGAAAGGTCATATCTGTGAGATGGGAAAACTAAAATGAGCGGTTTTACAGGACCATTATTAAACTGGACTACTCCGAAGAAATGGAACAATGTAGCTTAAAAAGTTGCATATATTTCCTGTGAGTCGTGATCAGTACGGAAGGTGTTAGGACTGTTTGAGAAGTCAATGGGCGGTTTCCGATGAGGTACACCGAGGGTCGCAACAAAGCCGAACATGTCCAGGTGCCTGTATGTCACCTGTCAGATGTCTCGTCCTGCGACCAAGGTAATATATTCGACACATTCATACGAGAGATTAACAGACATCGAAAAATCTTCCTTTGGTTGAAACTCGATGGCAGGTATGGAACTCAAAATTATAGGCAAATCAGCAGGCGTGTAAGACGTCTCAGTCGAGTTCTAAGCAACCTTGACATCACACGGACAACAGTATCAGCTTCTTTGAAACAAAAACGCATCGAAGTGCACCCCTGGCTCAGAGCACGAATTTTTTTGACCGGAAAGTCCGTGGTGCGAACCCGACCTCTGTCTCTCGACCTCCTCTGTCTAGGTTTGAGCAGTCTGGCGGTATCCCAGCCCTCGTGCCTCCTTCTGGTGGCATGGTAGTTAGGCATCGGAAGGGTGTTGAACGATTTCCTAGTTCTCCCACAGGAAGACTGCTATCTATTCGATGACTAATTCCTCTTCGGTGTCCGGCACCTCTGAACCGTTTAGGATGGCCAATCAGCGCAGAGACATGTAGTCGACAAACGCATCTTCATGCCCGTTCAATTTCATGTCACGGAAGACTTCTGACACCACTCCGCAGAGGAAGCCTGGCGGGAGAAGTCCTTTAAACCGCCATTTCTCTATGCCCACATACTTATTTTCTATCAAGCTGGCACTCAAGTAATCATTCCCCCAACCTCTAGCAGAAAGTGTACAACTAAAAAAGCAGTACAAAAATGTGGGCGTTATTCACGGTCTTGTTGTTGTGTTCAATGCAATCCTCTTGAAGATGGAACAGAACAGCGTAGTTTTGCACGATAGTCCGGGTTTATTTCACTCGCTATACCTGACAAGGCGCGCACTATAAATTTCAATAATAAACATATTTCTGACAAAGGAATAATTATCGTATCTGAGGCCTGCCCTGCAGTTTGTGATAACAGTCCCAACGAAACGGAAAGCTGTTTCTGTTTACATAGATTCGGCTTCTAGTGGTAAGCAAAAATGACCTTAGCAAACTCTGCTAATGGGCATCAGATGCAGTTGTTGGATCTATGCGTTGCTTGCTGCCAAGCGAATGACGAAGCCAATTGTGTAGGATTCGACCCCGTTTGACTTTGATGCCTCTGATGCTCAACAGCGTGTGATACACACAAACACACACCCTGAATGATAGTTGCCCAAGTAGGTGGCCATGTAACCATGCGTGAATCGTTGGATGACGTTGGAGTTGGAACCATGACCACTGGCCGTTGGCATGATTGCGCTGCGCAAGTTTGTCAGGTACAACGTTTTGACCAGGCTGCGGTTATATCGAATCGGCGATAAGCTGGTGTACTTGCGAAATGCTGGTCTTTGAACGGTTTCATCGTATCAGAATACCAAGGGACGGGGAATCACCGTTTGTATCGTTCTCCGAGCTGAGCTTAGTATTGGCGTGCAGAGAGGTTAGCAGCTCGAAAATGCTGGGGAAATGTTTCCTCTTGCGGAATTGTGATGAGCGGAATATTGGCACTTATTGACAGTCGGCGGGCAAATCACAGCTCCAACTTCCTCTTCAGGGCTCGCCATTAGCTAATGTAAGAAACGGCGGACTTCCCCCAGCATTCCCGGTGCCGGTCATTCGAGTTCCATAAGTGGTATGTCCCAACGTAGGAAATATCGATTTGCACGCCATTGTGATATGAGCATCAAGGGCAAAAAATAGGTATACGGGTGAGGCTCGGGTGTTCCACACCAGAGCAGTTGGAGCAGCTCAACTGATCAGCTGATCAATCAATGGGAAGTTAAATCACGCGAGTGCACGGACTGAAATGAAATCTGTGAGCGTATGACTCGAGGGGAATTCTATGCTTCAAGCGGGCCGTGAGGACAACTACTTTCCCAAACTGTCTTGTACGGTTACACGGATAAACCATTCAAAAAAGCACCACTTATAAACCTTTTGGCTAACATGGGGGTCGAGTAGTGTATTACGTCTAAAAATGGGAGTAAGTTTATAAAAATGAGGACAAAGAAACAATCCTAACCTTACGAAGACAGAAGCCCTTGATGCAATTTGAAAAAAAAACGATCTGGTGTTAGAAAGCACAAAATAGTTTGCATGGCACAGAAATGAGACCAGAGATGACATAAAACACTGGAAAACCGTAAGGGATGGTTGTTGAATACGTATAGACAAATTGTCAGCAGTAGCCGGCAGCTAATTTCGCCTTCGTCAGTATTTTGACACAAGGTGTTCATTCGAAATGTCTTCGGTCTATCTCCGGATAATGCAACCTGGCATTGACCATTCATCTATCTCTGTCACTCGTTTTGGGACTATCTCTTTCTCCCGTTCCCTCTTCCCAAGAACAGGCCATTCTGAGGACCCCCTGCTCCGGTCATCTCTCCGAATTGTCTCGTACGAACAAGCCACGTACATACCATATATTGAGAATGTTCAACTGCAAAGCCCAGATGCCGTGCCACTCAAGGGAAGTACAAGGGCTTGGATACTGTCAAGTTGACAAAGCTTAGACGAGAGTAGTCGAGATCCACTGGTTGGGTTCGAATCACGGATCATCCGGTCAGTAAGTTCGAGCCTTAACCACTGAGCTAGCTCGAGCCCCAAGGCACTCACAACCATCATAAAAAACAAGCAGTTTACTACATGATATACTGACTAGAAACCCGTGCACAACCTGCAGCGCAGCTTTATCGTCTTAGAAGATATACGACAATAAAAAACACGAAAAATAAGTGCTGTTCACAGACAAGAACGGATTCGGTAACCGAATAGACCCATAGACTTCCACAGCAGGTGGTCTGGCGGCGTCGAACCACCACAGGCTGTATTATTGGATAAACAAGCAATCACAAAGAGTTTTAACCGCTCAAACACAACACAAGATGTACCTTATGCCCGACGATCGTGCCGTAGTCAATGCCCAGCTTTCTGATATTCACATCGAGTTTTCCCACGGCCTGTGCCAAATCCGAGTGAATAAAAACTCGATAGGATGATGGAGCGAGGTTGTCAGTGGATTTGTATAATTGAGCTTCCCAGGCACGAACAGCACGAACAACATCCCCGACGGGCTGACAAAGCAAAGATTGGACAGAGAAGACGGAAATAGTTAGCGAAAGAACTCGTGGGAGAAGAGGCACGAGTATGGTAGTTGAAGGAGAATAGTATCTTATGAATTTAGATAAGAAAGCAACAGGGAGATAGAAAAAAGGTACAGTTGCTTGCCATCATCATCATCACATCATCATCATCATCGACAACAGGACATTAGTGTTCAACACTGATGTTTCGCGGCCGTACAACTATAATTTATTTGAAGGCCTTATTGTAAAGAGGGGGCAGGATGGTTCAAGTGGTTACAGCACGAATTTGATGCCCAGAATGTCCGTGGTTCGAACCCGACCTCTGCCTCTCGACTAACCCTGTCTAAGCTTGGGCAACCTGGCAGTATCGCAGCCCTCGTGCTTCCTTCGGATGGCATGGCAGCTAGGTACCTGAAGGGTGTTACAGCTGAGCGATCCCTTGTGAAGGAAAGAATAAAAGTGGACGGGGGGTTTGGTGCTAGCTTAAGTCTGTCTCCCCCAGAAGCCCACTATAAGGGAGGACCTTTCTGACAGGGTCTATTCTGAGATGGGATCAACGAAAAAGAAGCAAAATGTCTTTTTTCGAGAACTTTATAGTACTTTCGCGATATTACCCCTCAGTTTTCAGTGTACATCACATAGAAGATATACAGTGGCTTTATTGGTCAAGCCACTGTAAGTTAGAATTTGTAGGTGATGAGGGGATCCTGAATGTGCCTCGCAGGTAAAGTCAATACATGCTGAAAAGCCAAGAATCGCTGCATGGCTGTTGCATCTTTGTCCGGAGTCAGTACGGTATGTCTCACGAATTTCAACAGAGCCCGCGACCTTCTGGTCAGTGCTATTCATCTGCGAGTGAGTAGTCGACAGACAGATTAACTTACGCCAGGACAAGTAAGACTGCACACTGAGCTATGGATGGTTCAGGGGTTAAGGAGCGAACTTACTGACCGGAAATAAGGCAGTGAAGCATCGGTGTTGGACACTGATGTCATGCTGTCGATGACGATGATGACCGGAAGGTCCGTCCGCAGTGCTATTCATCTGCGAGTGAGTAGTCGACAGACAGATTAACTTACGCCAGGACAAGTAAGACTGCACACTGAGCTATGGATGGTTCAGGGGTTAAGGAGCGAACTTACTGACCGGAAATAAGGCAGTGAAGCATCGGTGTTGGACACTGATGTCATGCTGTCGATGACGATGATGACCGGAAGGTCCATGGTTTGAACCCAACCTCTCCATCCCGACTGCTTCTATCTAGGTTGGGCAGCCTTACAGTATATCGGCCCACAAGCACCCATTCCGTGCCTAACTGCCATACCACCAGAAGGAAGCACAAGGGCTGGGATACTGCTAGGTTGCCCAAACCCAGACGGGGAAAGTCGAGATGCAGATGTCGGGTTCGAACCACGGACCTTCCGGTCAGTAAATCCGCGCTCTAATCACTGAGCCATCTCCCCCTCCCTGAAGTTTCAACAAGATGTTCCAAACTGCCTTTCCATCCGATGGACGCGGTATTCTCCGAAATGGGATGTTCCCATCGGCGTTAGGTTACTAGTTGTTGCATCATGTGACCATGTGACTAAACTTCATGCGTTGGAAATTGTCGGCCAACTTAATAATTTAATAGAACGAGTAGCCCAATAACAACCTAAGCTGACATTGCTGAGCTGAACAAACAAAATCATGACTGTCACACCTTATTTAAAAACTTGAGATTGGCTCAGTATAGATATTACGCATCGTAGTCATTATACGATATTATGTGAATTATTTACGCGCACCCGGTGATGGAGAATGAGTGTGCCGTGCACCTCACGAGAGTGCACGGAACAATGAGGCAATCTGTACTACGTGTGAACTCTCATCTGAGCCTTGGGATTGCATGCCAGACAAGCTGAGGTGGTGGGTTCTGGATTTGCTTTAAGGCCCACACTGAGGGCCAGTGACTTCCCTGTCTTGTGAATCACGGGACGACCTAAGCGGTCTTGAGGGACGGTGAGCGATAAGAACCGTATTGGAAGCGTTACCCGCCGCAAAAGTGAAAGTTCAGTTGAATCCGGTGTCTGAGAGTGAACATTTTCACTTTTCTCTGGAGCAAATTTTTCAGACGTTCGGGACTGTTACGAACTCCCTTGATGCCCAAATGAACCTCAAATAAAAACCATGAAACGTACGATGTGTAACAAAATAATGGGGAGAACAATGACACCCGTGAGAAAGGCGTCAGATTTTGGAACTGCTTTATTTCATACGCCAGCCCCACTCTTCTGAATTCGTAGAGTGACTGTGACATACGGACAAATGGCACTGCCGTGTGCCCTAGAGCAATTCATTCACCAACTCAGAGCAAATCCCATCAGAAAAAGTCGGCTAATGTGGCAGAACAGTGTATGGGAATTGCTTTGGACACCAGTTGTCCAACATCTATTGGTAAATCTGAAACGCCCTTGGTATGGGACGTTCAATTTGTCGTTTCAGCAGACTATGAGGCCTGGGGAGTCTCCTAGGCTTTGAGAGAAAGTGTTCTTAGAAATAACAGTAAAAAGACAGTCCACATTGTTCTCAATCACTTTAACAGGGCGGCCCTTTTAAGGAGTAATGCACCACGAAGGGTGGCAAATAAAATGAACCGATCGGTAACCAAAGTCTCACGTTCCATCAAGTGACAAGCTACATCATATTCATATAGTCATATTCATTAGAGGAAGTTTATAAATTATGGCTGTTGAAGACGGTCGCTAAGCAGCGAACTGGATGACGAACACTCATAAAACTGAGTTAAAGTCCAAAGGGCTTCATGACATCTAAAGGAGCTTTCCTAGTGATCTGCGCTTGCATCTGACCTTATCTACTCTGAGTTTATATAGCTAACTTGTCAGTGTTAATGAAGGAGCAGTCAGATCAGATTATCATGTCATCTGTGAATAATCTCCGGTACAGCAATAAGCTCTGCTGTACCACAAAACAAGCATGAAGAGATGGAAAAACTACTCAACGTACCATGATCGCTCCGGTTTCGTTATTCGCGAGCATCAGTGAAATCAAGACTGTCTGATTGGGACGAAGCGCGCCAAGGATAGCCGATGGATTGACAATGCCAGTCAGTCGGTCGACCGGAACTATGGTTAGGTCTATGATAGAGGGGAAGAACCATGGATAAACTGTGAAATAACACCCTGAAGTAAGACGGAAAACGTTCGGCGAATACAAGTTTTCATGATCACGCGAATTTGCACGGCCGCTTCGTGGATAAACGATAACAGAATGAGGCGTGGATCATAGCTGGGTTCGCCAGGCCTAACAGATAATGTTTCGAGTTCATGAGGAAGTCCCTCGCACGGCCGCTTCGTGGATAAGCGATAGCAGAGTGAGGCGAGGATCATAGCTGGGTTCGCCAGGCCTAATAAATAATGTTTCGAGTTCATGAGGAAGCCCCTTCCTTTATATATAACCTTACTCATATGACTAGTGGAAACTCTGAACGCTCCATCGATGGTTTCGCCCTTCTTGGGGCTCACCAAGAAGCCGTAGTCCCTGATTTCCATCAATCCTAAGTCTGGATTACCTGACCGGCAGTCAGAAGAATGGATTACATTGACATTAAGATCTGGTGGTGAATCATTGGGCCATGGTAAACATGCCGACCAGTCCGGAAGCCCGACCAAAGTTCAATAACGTTGAGAAGCCGTAAAACACGGCATCCTCGGTGGGAACCATGGGCAACGCGTACCTCATGAACCTCGCAATAGGTCTGAACCAGTAACTTTCCGGACCTGAGCGTAATCATGCCAACCTTCGGTCAGTGGTATGCACCACATCACCATCCGATCTCAACAGCGCACGGACATCACATGATCTGCTAGTGACTACTCAGCTAACTTAAAGTGATACTGATATTTCACAGCATCTGAGCAAAAGGCCACTGAATGTCAACGAAGAGTTGAGGTAATATACAAAGCCACAATTTCCCAACTTTGACTTACCCAGACGACCTTCCTTTGCCATCTTCGCTAGAGGACGAAGTACCGAAGGGTGTTCCACATTGGTGGTGATTACGTGTGGAAGGAAACCCCACGGTAGGCTCGCAATTGTATGGAAAACCATAAAGTTAGATTCCGTTCCTCCGGAAGTGAAAACGAGGTCTGTTTTGACTGACTTCACATACACGGGTACGTACCATCACAATGGATATCAAGTAGACCAGCAATCGACTTTCTCGCGTTCTTAATTACGACTTTCCCAATTTTATCTAGAATGAAAGATATTGGCAATGCGAAATAAAGCTACCATATGAACTGCTTGGATTATACCAAGCCTTTTCTGCCGTCTGCATGATAGACTTGATAACTTCTGCAGCTAAAGGCGTGGTTGAATTCGCATCCATATAGACGGCCATGAGTAGAGATAAGGTGATGTTACTGAAAAAAGAAGGCAGTGCTCACGATCGCTTATCAGTATAAATTCTTTGAAGAAACTGCTTCGCATCGCGGGAACTTTTCTTCATTCAACTTAATGAAAGTTTCATGTGACAAAAAGCTGGTCACTACAGGATACCTAGAAACACCGGTGGTCAACAATGATGCTACTGTCAACAAGACTGATAATGAATTTAAGGTCCTACTGTCCTTGCGACGCCACGTAATGGTACACAATGGAAACAGCCGCATTTTCAGAATGAACTGATAATGATTTAAGGTCCTACTGTCCTTGCGACGCCACGTAATGGTACACAATGGAAACAGCCGCATTTTCAGAATGAAAGTGACCGCCTGTGAATCAAACCTGTAGCGAGTCAAGAATAAGTTGGCAAACTAAGGTATGTCCAAATCGTCTGCAAGGATGTTTGTCTTAAACCTCACGGCCGGCTAATGCAACAGGTTCTTGTGCAGACTTACTTTTAATGTCATCCACCACATTTCTGGCTCTTCAGAAGCACACGCTGTTGAAGCGAACGAATGAAGAATGGAGTGAACGGAATTTAATGACTTTCGCTACTGTATCTGACGTATTGAATCCAAAAAAGTTTAATACCGCCTTCCTGGCGCTAAGAAATTTTAAACATAGTTAGAGTGATCTCTTCAACGAAACATCAATTTGAGATCACCTTTAAGGGATGAAACGTTTTACCACAGCAATGTCCATCCGGAACCAAGCCCGAAATAGTTGGTATACCAGCTTCTCACAGAGTCATCGCAATGAGGATACCCTTTTCCATTGGTCAACACTCAACTCTCAGTAGCGGAACAAGACGGATGTCACGACCAGTGCGCTACACTAGTTCACCAAGCTGGAGAGAGTTTCTTGGCTTGACTCGGCATGCTGGACAGTCCGATAAAAAATACAGAAGGTATAAAACAGGACCAAACGCGTGAAAACTCGATATCTATTGAGCTTTCAGTTGAAGATTCATATCAGATTACCTGTTCCTCACACATTTTTCGAATGTTGCGCTGTCGAATTAAAGAGGGCTAGACAGTCCACTGACTGCACGCCCATGAAAAATTACGTGACAGCGAGCGGCAACCAGCAAGCGGACAGTTCAGTTCGGCTTTCCAATTTTGCATCGAGCTGGACAATGTGGATCCGGATCCTTCTGGCCGAGTGTGTACCTATAAATCTCGGTCAGTGAAATTCCATGTTCGGGTATGCGGGAGAAACCTATGGGTTCGAAGCTATGTCCGGTGTATGAACAGACAATCCTCTGTCACCGGTGCTTCTTAGCGTCGCAATCGGCTGGCCACTGGAGAAATTATCCAATGGAGTATCGGACTTGGAATGGCCTGGGGGCTTAATCCTGTTTGACAAGTTAGAAGAGTTCCAAATAATGCTTGTCATGCAGCATTCGTAGGGCTAAAAACAAATACTACAAAGACCAAATTTTCTCTCTGTAGCTGTGTGGTTGCGTGACCTATCGAGATGGGTCATGGTTAGGCAGAACAATGTGTCGTTTTTAAAGACCCAAGCACAACCATCTTACTCAACAAACAAGCAAGAAAATAAGTTCAAGGCTGAAGTGATAGCACTGGACTTGCTTTCATGCAGCTGGACAACAAAGTGAAGACAGTAGCTGAAACTAGTGTATGCATAAAAGGTTGAATTTTCAATATGGCGGTCGGTCCTGTCCTAATGCCCGGTTGTGACACGTTGCGGCTACAAGCAGAGGATAATCGGAATCTGGAGTTTTTTACTACTGATCCACTCGACGAGTATTAAAAGCCGGTGCCTACAGAAGGTGTTCAACGTTGAGATCCAGAAACAATGTCATGGTTTATTAAGATTCATGGTCAAAAGTCTCAGTGTATTAAGCGTAACCACGACTGAGTTGCCTGAGTTAGCTCTTATTTATACGATTCCATATGAACGAGGATGTGCTCCGGTGAAGGGCAAAAGTTATGGATTCTGGTGAAATCTCTACCAATGTTAGCAGCTGGTTTGAAAAATGACCTGACATGAGTCGGTGGAAACTGAACGATCGATCGTTCATTCGCTAGCATTAGGTGCTTCAGTTTGTCTGCGTTTGTACTGAACGGTAAGAAGTAGCATAGGGGAGTGTCAAGATGATGAGCTATGGACTATTACCTGAACAGTTTTAAAAAAGGGCTCCTTAGATGTCAAGCATGTGACATTTGGCGCAAAGCTCCCAACTAAGTTAATTGGCAGCAAGTTTACTGAAACCACCCTCGTATACGTAGACTGTATCGCCCTGGGGAATGGCCCGGCAAACCTACACTAGCGACAAAGTTTTCACTCATTGTCCAGAAAATTTTGCATCCCAGGGCACCGGCTTGGCAGGTCAGTGTGGAAAGTTTGCAGGAACACACATTTTGTCCTCTTCCTAATCCCGATTTTAGACTTCCGAGGAGGATAATTTCTCAGCTCTGTTCGCCACTTGGGTAAAGTTTCCAACTGCGTGCAGAAAGTAGTACACGGACCCTGGCGATAAAGCTGCGCCCAAAGTGGCAATAGCCGCTTTCATTTCGTTCGACCAGATCATGACCTGTGAAATAAATGATTAGCAGGTAACCATTCAGCGCTAATACCCTTCGGTGCCTAGCTGCCAAGCCACCTGAAGGAAGCACGGGGGCTTTGATACTTCCAGGTTGCCCAAGTCTAGACAGGGGCAGTTGAGAGGCATAGGTTGGCTTCGAACCACAGATTTCCTGATCAGCAATGCGCGCTTTAGCCACTAAGCTATCCAGAGCTCATCATGTACCTGTACTCCGTAGACTTTCCACCAACAAATGTTGGGAGTGAAAGACGTCGTTCTCTTGGGTAAACGGTGATCGGGCAAACGTAGCAGACACCCTAAGCCCTTTGAACTCGAAAAGTCCTGTCGATTTTCTGACTCTGGTTCCTTTCTAACACTCTCTAACGGATAAACCCATTGCGGGTACGGTCCAGTTCGTATCATGCTTGACTACGATGACATCGGTGGTCAAAATCTCGAAGACGTTGTCTTCAAAGAAGTCTTCAGATCGAAGAAGCTGTTACCTAGGTGTTTGTGAAGATACGACCTTCAACCACAGTGATATTTGGTTCAGACGCATACGTTGGCAAATGCATCTCGTGCCTTTATGATGCTTGCTATGGTAAAGCCGGGCGAGTAAGGAAACCCATCAACAAAAATTCAAGTTTCCTATTCTCAAGTTTCAAAGACATACAGGGTAGCGGAAAACCCTGAGGCAGGACTTCAATTCGAACATGCGCAGCCCACTCATTTTAAGGGAGTTTGTCAAATAAAAGAGCAATATAGTACTTATAATCCAAAATCAGCAACCTCTGTCCATGGGTGGGAAGTTTTCCTGGGCAGCCACAGAGCCTTAGGTCCACTCCCAAAAGTTGTGTGGGTGCGAATTCGGATTCTCCTGATACGACCTCAACCACAGTGATGTTTGGTTCAGACGCATACGTTGGCGAATGCATCTCGTGCCTTTATGATGCTTGCTATGGTAAAGCCAGGCGAGTAAGGAAACCCATCAACAAAAATTCAAGTTTCCTATTCTCAAGTTTCAAAGACATATAGGGTAGCGGAAAACCCTGAGGCAGGACTTCAATTCGAAGATGCGCAGCCCACTCATTTTAAGGGAGTTTGTCAAATAAAAGAGCAATATAGTACTTATAATCCAAAATC